GAGCTTGGGCTGGGAGGAAAGGGGTGGGAAGGGATTGGGGGGAGAGAGGAGATATGCTATTCTGGGCGCACCACCGGCTGCAGGGAGGTTTGACTGACTGGAAGTTTCCCAGCTCCTCTGAGGGGTAGAATTATTTTTCTCGCCCCAATTTTTTATTTAGAAAAATTTCAACCAAAAATCCAGAGAAGTGGTCCAGAGAAACCTCACCCATACTCACTATTTGTTAACATTTTGACATAATCGTGCGTGTACTCTCTCTCTAATTATACATATATCTAATTTCTGCATATATTATATATATAATTTGATATGTTGTGTATAATATTTGACATTATTAATGTAATAATTATACAATTTATATACATATATAATTTTGTGTTGAACCTTTGAGAATTTGCAGACATCCAAATACTTCTCCCTAAATACTTCAGCCCATGTCTCCTAAGAACAAGGATATTCTCCTACGTAACCTCATTATTATCACATTTGAGAAACTTCACATTGACAAAATATTATTATCAAATATATAGCCCATATTCAAATTTCCCCCACTATTTCAAAGATGTCCTTTTTAGCGTCAAGGGTTACTTTTTGAGACCAGAAACTCCTAGGGATTGGAAACTATTTCTCACATCTGGGAACTAGATCTAATGATCTGTGTCATGATGAACTGATTTTTTTTATGAATGTCCCCAAACTGTGTGTGTGACTCCTTGTAAAACATATTCCAGAACTTCTTGACTTGAGCGTATAGGCACCTTCAATACAAGCGACACCAGATCGCAAACGTCTGGTGGCTGAAGAGTTGGCCGCACCCGGCCTTCACGCCCCCCTCCACTCTGCTACCTGACTCCATCTCTCTCTCCCCTCCGTTCTATCCCCATTTTGTTCTCCCACCCAGAGAAATGGGCCCAGTTCCCCCGCCCCTCATCTTCACTACTCACTGTTTTCTTCAATTCCACCTCAAATGCTTTTCTCCTCCCCTTTTCTCCCCACCTTGCTCACAAGTAACTCCACTCTCATTTCATTACACATTTTCCCTGGGGCTGGTTTTCTTCTCTTTCCTCCCTCCTCTCCCTCTCAGCTCCCTTTGTGGGTCTAATCATGTCTGTTCCACACAAAAATTGTCTTAGTAATATACCTATTACTACGGAAAAAATGTTTGGAAATGCTCTCAAGTTTTTTTTATCTCGATTTCTATTTATTGCATAAACTGCATTATAACAACAATAAAGGAGTGTTTAGAAGGTGTGACACACCTAATGCTGCTTAATCTAACATATCACCCATTTGAGTTTCCCAAGTGTCTTTCCTGGCCTTGTCCATGTTA